GTACTTGGGTGTTCTCAACCAATCTCAATCGATCAATCAATCAATATCTCCCACCCTCCCTCCCTCCTTTCTCCCTCCCTTCCATTGTTTGTTTAGCTACTCCTTGCTTCTCTCTATTATCTGCAGTTTCTTTAAGGTTAATAATGGGAGTGTGTTGATTTAGGAGCTAAGGGAAAATGTGAAGACATAGGCCATGGAGTTTTAGTCTGGCGGGGAAAAATCATTAAAAATAAAGTATTATAATATAGTGCACTAAGGAAGTTATATGAAGAAGCTAAGCACAGTGTATTATGGGGAGGATAGGGAAGTGGCTTTTAAATCAGACTTGGAGTTCATGGAAGGCTTTATAAAGGAGGTAGGTAGGAATTATCCTATATAATAAAAGCGTAATATGTTAAGTGTCCGACTGAGCAGTTTGGTCGACCACTCGACCAGTCGCTATGACATACACTGACCACCATGGGGCAGACACTCTGACTGGTAGGTTAGCTTGCTGCTGGGGTCCAGCCAATGGAGACTGGACAAGAGGGCTGGACACACCCTGGAACCTTCCCTTGGTCCCTCTCTGGCCGGTTGGCCCCCATCAGCCCCAATCAGGACTGGATGAGATGGCCTCGATCGCCGAGGGACCCCACCCAGGCACAAATTCGTGCATCGGGCCTCTAGTAATAGATAAAGGTATAGATTAGGCCAAGGGGCTTCATATATAAAAGGATCTAGTAAGGAATGGTTTTGTGAGGTAACACAAATGTTTAGGACCCACATGTGATTTTGAATGGTCTGGAACAAAGAATGTGTTCAGTAGAGTGTTTAGAAAAGTTAGAGGTAGGAGAGGCTGGATTTATACCAAGGAGTTTGGATTTTTATTCTTCAGGAGAGTGGGAAATGTCAGGATCACATTCTACAGTTTCGAAGAAAGCAGTGTTTGATGCTTAGGGCCCCTTGCTTGCATTGTGGCCTTTCTCTAGAGTCTTGGAATGGGCATTATCAATGAGTTCTGTGGTCAACTGTTTCTAGTAAAATTTGCAAAAGAAAGCCATTTTAACTATAACTTGCCTCCATTACCGTTTAGCCTAGGCTGTGCACATTTTTGGAAACCAGCTAAGGGGAGGCTCAGGATTATTTTGTCTGTGTGTAGTAATATGAATTAAAGTCCTTTGTAGTCACGTCTGTGTATAGCTAGCTTATTGCCAGCCATCCTGGTATAGAAATTATGGTTATAATCTTACTAACCACCCAGCAGTATAGCACAAAGATATAGGTCCAAAGGCCATATTGTGATATAAGTGTGTATTCATGATTTTGTATTTGTTTCTTAAATCAGGACCCTAATATAAGCTTTAGGACCTACAAACTAGGATCTTCACTTGTAACAATGCTAGAAACCACATTAGTAAGCTATTATTAAACATGTGTAGCCCCATGAGATGGAGGTCTGACCCAAGGCAGTGGTGGAGGAAATGGAGGGAAGGGGTTACCAGACAAAAAACATGCTGGGAGTCCAGTGTAGGTGACCTGGCAGCTGTTTTGGTGTGTG